CCCTCAGAAAACTCCACAAGAGGCAGGCACCATCGAGCTGCTGGGGAGCCCCACCCACCACCCGCTGCCCTGTGCTCCAGAGTCCGAAGGTGTGGCGTGAACCTTGTGCACGGTGCCCCCGCGCCTTTCCCCGTGGGGTTCAGTTGGGGGGGAAGCGGACGGACTCCATTTCCTTATCCCTTGTGAGCCTCCCACGGCTGGTGCACCCCACATGCTGCCAGCTCCGGGCCCAGCTTCTCCCCGTGGCCCTTCGCTGCCCTGTGGTTCCCACTCTGCCTTCTGAAACCGGCTCCCAGTAACCCTCCTGATGCTGTACCCGCCCCCCATGTGGCCCGCCTTGTCGCTTCCTAACCGGTGTCTTTTCATGAGCTAGGTTTTGCAGAGCAATGACTTTGTTTAAGTCAAGTGCAATTTATCAATTTTTTAATGGATTGGTGCTTTTTATGTTCTACCCCAGATCATGAAGATATTCTCTTGTGTTTTCAAGAAGGCTTAGGTTTTCAGCTTAAACCTACAACCATCGAAAATTATTTTCTATATATGATTCAAGGTAGGGATTGAGGCTCCATCCAGTTTTTCCTGTACACGTTATTGAAAACTCTTATTTCCTCCCCGAATTGCACTGATGCCTTTGTCAGAAGACCAGTTGACGGTGTACAGGTGGGTCCACTTCAGATCTCTGTTCTGTGCACCTTTGTCTCTGCCAGGACCTCACTGCTTTGATGTTTTGAAAGTAGCCTGAGTCCTTTGACTTTGTTCTTTTTTTCCAGATTGTCTGACTATTTTAGTTCCTTCGCATTTCCATATAAATTTTAGAATGCAACTGTTAATTCAGAAAGTCTGCCGTGATTTTTATTGGGGTTGCACTGAATCTACAGATCACTTTGAAGGAGAGATGACTTCACGATACCGAGTCATTTGTAAACACGCTTCCTCTCCACTTGTTCGGGTTTGTAGGTATGCGAGGCTACTGTAAATGCTGTTGTCACTGGGCTGTCCCATCGATTGGTGCTAGCGTATAGAAATACAATTGATTTTTTAGAATTGGACAGCTTTACTGAGGTATGATGTACATACCATAAAAATGCTTTAAATCTACAGTTCAGTGTGTTTTAAAATAAAAACATGCAGTCCAGTGTTCGAGCCTTTCTGCCACTCCAGAGAAGTCCCCTTGTGCCTGTTCGCACCGTCCTCGCTCCCAACCCAGCCCTAGGCAGTCACTGATGCCCTTTCTGTCTCTGTAGCTTTGCCTTTCTGCAAACGTTGGGTACACAGAATTAGATGATCCTTGTCTCACATGCCTGGTTCCTGTAACCTCGCCCAGTCCTTTTGTGGTTTATCTATACCATTGCATTACATATTCTTTTTTATTGCTCTTAGTGATGCATACACGGACATAGACATTTTGTTTGTCTACTCACCCGTCAGTGGACATTTGGACGGTTTCTGATTCGGGGCTATTGTAAAGACCAGTGCTATCACGTTAGCATGTGAGCTTTTATGAGCGTCTCTTTAATTCCTCTTTTTATTAGTTCATGTTTGCAGGACGTGGTTATGTTCTTCGTGGGGAGTTGGCACACGTGTATAGCACATCCTAATTCTTGTTTGCATCCCTTTCCCCTCCTCTCCTCCCTGCCTCCGTCTCCTGGTTCCCTGCACTGTCCCCATTTTTCTTATCGTCTATCTTTTTATTTTGCTCTCTGTTTCTATTTTGCATTGCTCGTACAAGAGATACCACGCAATACTGAAGCGTGATTGTGTGGTTTATTTCCTGTGTGGACGTTCGTTTTCATTTGCTTGGGTATATACTTAGGAGTGGAACTGCTGGCTTCTGTAGTAAATCAGTGTTTAACTGAGGATTTTCTGGAGAGCCGGCACCATTTTCATGCCATTCAGCAGTGTGTGAGAGCCCTGCTTTCTCCACATCCTTGTCAACACTTATTATTAACTGCCTCTTTTATGACAGCTGTCTTTGTGGAGGTGCAGGAGTATCCAATTCAGGCTTTAATTTACATTTCCATGATAACTTACATCTTTTCGTGTGCTTATTGGCTTTTGTACATCTTCTCTGAGAAGTGCCTACTCATGTCTTTTGCCCGTTTTTAAAGTTGAGGTAAAATACAAGTAACATGAAATGAAATATCTTAAAGTATACAGTTCAGTACATTCCATATATTCAAAATGTTGTGTAAATATCACATTTGACTGGTTCCGGAATATTCTTACTGCTCCGAAAGGCCCCCACTCCCGTTAAGTAGTCACTACCCATTTCCCTGATCCTAACCCCTGTCAATCACTAATTTACTTTCTGTCTCTATAAATTCATGTATTCTGTAATTTCATATAAATGGAATTACTGTTTGGCCTTTTCGTCTGCCTTCTTCCCCTGAACATGATGTTTCTCAGGTTCATCTATATTGTGGTGTGTATCAGTGCTCTCTCCTTTTTACAACTGAGAAATACAGCACATTTGTCTATCCGTTCATCAAGCAGTGGGAATTTGGATTATTGCCACCTTTGGTTATTATCAATGGTGTTGCTGCTACAAACATTTACATACAAGTATTTGTTTGAATGCTTATTTTCAATTCTTCTGGATATATACCTAGGAATGGAATTGTCAAGTATTATGGTAATTCTGTGTTTAACTTTCTGAAGAACTTTGGGCTTTTCTTCCAAAGCATTTAGCCCACTTTTAAAATGAGTTCTTTTTCTAATTAAGTTACAATAATTCTTTCTGTGTTCTGGATAGCAGTGCCCCTTATCAAGTACATGATTTGCAAATATTCTTTTGCATTCTACGGGTTGTCTGTTCATCTTCTCAGTAGTGTTCTGTGATGCATAAAATATTTTTCTCTCCCTCCTTTTATCCCCCTTCCCTTCCTTGTCTTCCCCCTCGCCCACCCCTCCCTCTCTTCCTCTTCTTCTTCCTCCTCCTTCTTCTTTTGTAGCACTGGGGATTGAGCCCTGAGCGATGTCCTCAACCCTTTTGTAAATGAAATGTTTTAATTTTGATGATGTCTAATGTACTTTTTCTTTTTTGCTTGTTTTTGGTGTCATATCTAAGAAACCATGGTCTAATCTAAGGTCACAACAATGTAGTTCTGTCTTTTCCTCTAAGAGTCTTATAGTTTTAGATCTCTTACCTAATTTAGTTAACTGTATATGAGATAAAAATGGGGTCCAACTTCATTCTTTTGCATTTGAGAATCTAACACTACCAGCACTGTTTGTTGAAAGGCTGTTTTTCTTCCATTGAATGGCCTTAGGAAAATCAACTGATCATAAATCTGAGTATTTGTTTCTGGATTCTCGATTCTGTTCGTTGATTTATGCTGTCTATCTTTATGCCAGTATCATGACATCTAGATTACTGGGGCATTGTTGTAAGTTTTTAAATCAAGGGATGAGAGCCTTCGACTTCTTTTCTAAAAGATCGTTTGGCTAGTCTACATCCCTTGCATTATCATATAAATCTTAGGATCAGTTTGTCATTTGTCATTTTCTGTAAAGAAGTCAGCCAAGATTTGATAGCATTGAATCTGTACATCACTTTGAGAGGTATTTCCATCTTAGCAATTTCTAATCCATGAACAAGGGATCACTTTCCATCTGCATTGATGTTTGACTTCTTTCAACAGTGTTTTGGATTTTTAGAGTATACATTTTAGAGTTAACATTTTAATTGGTACTTTTATGATTTTAATTGCATTTTCCCATTGTTCTTTATTTGCCTGCATTTAAGTTTTAAATGTTGACCTGTTCTCAAGCCTTGCTGAGTTTACCTGTTCATCCTGGTTTCTTTGTGGAAACTGTAGGATTTTCTATGTAAATGATCATGTCATGAACAGTTAAAGACATGACCTTGTTGTTTTGAATCTTTATGCGTTTAATTTTTTTAAACCAACTTCAGTGGTTAGCGGTTCTAGTAAAGTATAGCATAAACGCTGTGAGTGCATGCAGCCTTTCCCCTGATCATCAGAGGAAGGAGGGCATTCAGTTGTCCCTAAGTATGGTGTGAGCATGGAAGATTGTTTTTCACATTGTTTTTCACATTCCTAGCTTTCATAAGGACTCTAACCCTGATTAAAATCATGACACAGTGAGGAAGGAGGGCATTCAGTTGTCCCTAAGTATGGTGTGAGCATGGAAGATTGTTTTTCACATTCCTAGCTTTCATAAGGACTCTAACCCTGATTAAAATCATGACACACCAACAGTAATGCTGGAACTTTTAGTAGAAAGTGACTGTAATATTCAAGACGAATTTTCCAGGCACAGGACAGAAATCCAACTCACAATAAAATGAGCAAAAAGGAAATGTTGCCATGTAATAAGAGCGCCCAAGAGTCAGTAGGCCTCGGGTGCAGAGGGACCTGGGAGCAGAGCATCAGCAGGAAAATGCCTCTCTCTGTCTATTGACTTATTTTTATGTATTGGCTTCAGCTTATACAGATTCCCGCCACCACCTCTCCCCACCTTATTTTGCCAAATTCCAACTTACAGGCAGCCATCTTAGAACCTTAGCCAAAAGAACAAGTTCTAGTTTCTCACTATTTCTGAAAGAATGTTCTCGGAACTTGTTTTCTGATCACCTCAGGGCCCATGGCCATCCCTGAGCTGCTTTCTGCGGCCAGGAGAATGGAGCCCCTGGTGGTTAGGCCCGAGCCGCGCGCTCTTCCTCCTTGGGACGAGGGGCTGGGGTCAGCCCAATCCCGAGGGAAAATCCAACTATTATCATCAGAAAATGAGAGACTCGGTCCCAGCCAGGAATGAACCAGGGAGATCCATGCCCCTCTACGACAGAAAACCTCTCAGTGCCCCAGGCCCGGCCCTATGGCTGGACCCCTTATGACCCTTCCTTTTCTTAGCCCTATCGGAAAGATCCAGTGGGTCACTGACGCACAGAGCTGTGTCCAAGCTGTGAAGTGCGGTGCACACACCCGGGACGGGTCCCAAGCACTGTTCTGACCCTTCCGTCCTCTTCTGTCTTCTCCCAGAGCACCTGAAGAAGCCCCTGGAGGACTACATGGCCCTCTTCCCCAGCGTGCGGATTCTCCGCACCAAGAAACGCGAAGGCCTGATAAGGACTCGCATGCTGGGGGCCTCCGCAGCTACCGGGGATGTCATCACCTTCCTGGACTCACACTGTGAAGCCAATGTCAACTGGCTTCCCCCCTTGCTGGGTAAGCGGGAGCCTGTGTGAGCCAACCGCCCCCTACTGCCCCCTAGTGGCTGCAGGGCGTCACCCACGGGGGCTCCTTGCCGCTTGGAGAGGACCCTGCAGGAGGCCCTGGGCCATAACGCGGTGAGGGCCTCCCAAGCGTGCTCAGAGAGGCCTTCAAACTCTAGTCCATCCGGTCCTTCACTACAGAGAGGGAACGTGACAGTGTCTAGTGATGGCACTGCTTCCCTCAGAGGGCTTTAAATTTCAGACAGCCGCGGATATCTCCCTTAAAGAGCTATGTCTTTATGTCCAGTTAGAATAGTTAGAAGGGCCCTGCTTCTGGGAGCCAGGCAGGTGCCAAGCGTGATCACTGAGCCCCAGGGAAGCATGCTGGGCTAGAGGGGTCCCCACTCCGTAGTAACAAACTGATGTTCAAAGGGAGAAGGGGACTTGCTTGGCCCCAGGGGCCACCACTGTCAAAGTAACCGTCTGTCTGGCTCCAAAGTCTGCTTTCTTTCAAGCTGCACACTGACTCCCAAGTTCCTTTCCCCTTGAGGAGTTCTTGACAGAGGCCAGGCTAGGGCCACCAGGGCCAGTACGGCTCCAGAGTCACCAGGCCTGGGCCCGGAGGAGTCTGCTCTGAGGAAGATGGCAAGCGGGCACTGGCAGGACATCCAGTGACTCCTAAACGGCATGAGGCAGCGGGGCACGAGGCTGAGCCTGAATCTAAATAGCCCTTAACTCTGTTTCTATGGAAATGTACAAAGGCAGTTTTTATAATCTGCAGACATGCACAGAACAGACATCCACCCTTTTTTTCTTGCTCTTTTTCCAATAGAGATGTGAACCCATGGCGTAGATTTAAAAGTCTCTCCCTCTCCTATGAGTAACTGACAGAGCGCAGCATGGCTTTTGTCTGTGGGACCATTAACACCTCCGGCATGGCTCCTTCTGCCTTCTTTGGAGATTAGGCATTTCTGATGCCGAGAAGGATTCACCCCCCCACACACAAGGGAATCTGCTCCCGACCATCATCATCCTCCTCTTCACTTGGCAGTGAGAGTCCCTCGGCACTTTAAGCCATGTCCACATTTAAATCTGACCGCTGCCCAGTAAAGCAGGCAGGCTAGGCATTTTTCATCCACAAATGAGGAACTGGAGGGGCAAAGAGAATGAGGGAGATGCTCAGTCGTCCAAGTCCTGCTCTGGGCTTCGTCCAGTGCCCCTGGTCGGGCAGAATATGCTGGAGGCTGCACTAAGCATCCCGGCTCCGTAGTCTGCTCAGTCTTCACAGAAACCCCATAAAAAAGGTGACGTCCGCCTCCGTTGTGTCAGCTTTCCTGTTGCTGAGGTGCAGTACCTACCGCCCGCAGCCTCAGGAGGATAGGTTTCGTTGGTTCACGGGTTCAGGGGATTCCGTCCATGGTCGGCCAGCTCCAGGGCAGAAGCACTGGGACGGGAGGGTGTAGCAGAGCAGAGCGGCTTGGTGTATGGCGGCCAGGAAGCAGAGCAGGAGAACTGAGCCAGAGAGGAAGAGGACAGAACCCAGAAATGCTTCCCAAGGTCACGCCTCCTGACCCACCAGTATACCCAGCAATGTGCTCTAATCCCTTGGATGCCCCCAAGCGATCGTATTGACACAGCGCGCTCAGTCACCACAGAAACCGAGGGCCAGAGGCATCCGATCGCCTTACCCAAGGTTATACTGCTCACAGGTGCAAAACCACGACTTCATCCGGGCATCCGGCTCCCAAGCAAGCACAGTGCCATGAATTCTGCCTTCTCTTGCTGCCTTGACCCCAGACCTCCCACAGTCAGCCAGCAGCCATCAGGGACTGTGCCTCAGTCTCCTTGGAAGTACAGTCCCCAGAATGGGCATGAATAGTTAAGAAATAGTGCCCTTCTCTACATCTTTCCCTGCAAAGATTGCTAAGTATATCATTGAAAAATCCTCAGTGAAGGGGTTGGGGGTTTAGCTCAGTGGTTCTGCTGCCTGCCTCACAAACACAAGGTCCTCAGTTAGATCCCTGGTACAAAAAAAAAAAAAAAAAAAAATTGTCAGTGAAGCCTGACGTGGTGCCACATGCCTGTAATTCCCGTACTCTGGGAGGCTGATGCAGGAGGGTGGCAAGTTTAAACTCAGTGTGGGCAATCTAGTGATTTTGTGAGGATCCCGTCTCTGAATTTTAAAATATAAAAAGGGCTGGGATGAAGCTTAGAGCAAAGGCCCTGAGTTCAATCCCCAGTACTGGAAAAACAAACAAACCTCAGGAAGCCTGGCTACAGGTGCCCCCCAGCGATTCTGATCAGTAGGCCTGGGTAGAGGCACGCTTGGAGATTCTCAAACACTGTCCAGGGGCACCTGGCTCTGGTGGCCCCCAGTCCATGCTTGGATGCTTGGGGGACACTGCCAAAAGCAACATTTCTCCGTTTTTTAAACCACTCATCACAGCTAGAAATACATTGGACATCTCAATTGAGTACAGAAATGCTCACATTCATGAAATATGAATGAAATACATCTGAAATCTCCATCTGTTGCTATATCCCTTATCAGCTGGAAGGCAGCCTCATATTCATATTATTTTTTTCCCCTTTTTTTCTTTTCATTTTTTGGTTCAATACACACACACACACACACACACACACACACAGGTGATTTCCTGACCCCTGATGTGTTGTCTCTTCACTTTAGAAAAAGGCAATAGTGCTGCTTTCTGTCAGAGAAAACAAATACACCATAGCTTGTTGAAATTGGGGGTCCAGTAGCTGCTGGTCCTCTCTGGCCCTACAGGGCTCCCCACTGCATGTTCTGAATTTGACTCCTGGCCCAAAGGAGCATCTCCACTCACCTCTCACAGCTGACCATGTGCCCTGGCAGCTGGCCAGAACCCTTGGGTTCACACAGGACTTCCTGGCAGGAAGCGCACTGAGGGCCGAGCAGAACAAAGCCAGTGCGCTGTTTGCAGGCTGGGCCCGGAGTGACTCATATAGAACCACTCCTTTCTCCTGGCCCGTAGCATTTCATTCCTGCAGGCCCACCCTTAGCCCACCAGCCCCTGCACACCTCCAGGTGTGGGGTAGCTCCATTCTGTTCTGCAGTCCTGACTGAAAACCTGAGCTGAACTCTCTTCGGGGCCTCGAGGCCAGACGTCTGGGGCGGGCCAGTGCTGAATGCCGGGCTGCTTGGGGCTGTGAATCAGGATCAGGACCTGGAATCCCGGGAAGGCAGGCAGGGCCAGCAGAGGGTCCTCCCGGAAGGAGACCGTCTCTGTCCATCAGCAGGGCTCTGGGAGCTCCTGCGCCCACAGCTGCTGTGTCTATCGTGTGGCACCTGAGCCTCCCACCGTGTTCCACAGGACATGGGGCCTCGGAGACCTTGCTGGGAGAGGCGCACCTGGGCCGGGATTCTCGGTCCTTCCTCCTCAGAGCCTGCCCCTGCCTTCCTCTTTGTGGATTCTCAGGCTCAGGGTTTCGGAGGTTCCACCCAGGGGTGCGTTACAAATCGAAGTAGCTGCAGAATGAGACTGGACACGTAGTTCCTGCCTCAACTGATGGGCATCTCTTGACTGCCTCAGACCGCATCGCCCGGAACCGCAAGACCATCGTGTGCCCAATGATCGATGTGATCGACCACGATGACTTCCGCTACGAGACGCAGGCAGGGGACGCCATGCGGGGTGCCTTTGACTGGGAGATGTACTACAAGCGGATCCCAATCCCCCCAGAACTGCAGAAAGCTGACCCCAGCGACCCATTTGAGTAAGTATGAGTGACTCGGGCCCGTGGCCCTTCCCAGCACACGGCGTCACCACCTCCTCTTGGCCCAGGGCACAGGGTGCAGACACCTGGTCTCACTCCGGAGCAGATGTCAGACTCCCCGGCCAGAATTTAGCCTCCTTTTCGCGTGTCACAGCCTGGGCTCCTGGGCTACCACGCTGGCCACCTCCGCGGTGATGACCTCTGTGAAGTTTGCCATGGGAGCCAGGTGAATACTCAGTCCCTCATGCCCTCTTCCTCCCCGGCCTGGGACCCAGCTGTAACTGTCACCTTCATCTTCCCCGTACAACAGAACATGTTCCAATTTAACACCCGAGAACCACAAGAATTATTACCTGTGTTTTCCGAACAGGGACACCAGAGCCCCCGGAGGCTACGTAAGTCGCTCAGGTCACAGCCATGAAGTGGCTGCGCAGCTATGAGTGAGGATCTGGGTCACTGTTCCCCCCGCCATTCCGTTGCACCCTTGTAAGTGCTGACGAAATGGAAAAGTTTAGCGGGTGTGGACTGGACGCACGGTAAAAGATGGAGGGAACAAAGAACTCGATGACCCTGGCAGACGGGGAGGCTGAGGCCCCAGGGAGAGGAGGGCTTGCCTGGGTGCCTCTCTGGACACCACGCTGTTCCTCAGCCACAGGCTCCCGGCCCTGCTGCTGCCGTGGGAGTTCTCCCAGCTCTCTTGCCAGATGTGTCAAACAGACCTTGGATTTAAGCCCAAGGCCAGGCCCTGGCTGTTTTTGTCCCTGTGGCTGCTGTATTTATGGCAGACTTAGTAGTTTCCAACCACACTCCAAGTTCTGATGGTCAGAAGTCTAAACTGAGTTTGCTGGGCTAAAATCATGGTGCCAGCAGGGCTGTGTTCTTTCTGGATGCTCTTGGGGAGAATCCCTTGCCTGCTTTTCCCACGAAGATGCCTGTAGTCCTTGGCTCCTGCCCCGGCCCCATCCTCAGAGCCGGAAGCACGGTACCCTCACGTCCGTCTCCCTTTCCCTCTCGCCTTCCCTCTGCTTCTGTCCCCTCACCTCATCTCTTTTCTGACTCCCCTGCCTTCTGCCTTCGTCATAAGCCCTTGTGATGTTCCTGGCCATGTGTGACTACCCTGGGCTTCCTGGGTTCTCCCATCTCGGACTCTGAAACCCGATCACGTCTGCAGTCTCCTCTGCCATATGAAGTCACGCGTTCCTAGTTCCAGGGATCAGGACGTGGCCATCTTCGTAGGGCCACCCCTGCCCCGCCACAGGTGAGCCCCTAGTGAACCCCAAGTCCTCTGTTCCTTCCCCTCCCAGCTTAAAAGGGGGTTGTGAGCGGCTCAGCCTGCTTCCCGGGCAGTGTGCACATCCAGGATTGAGGACGGGGGCCTCCGATGCTGTGAGTGCACGAAGGCTGAGAAATGGGAAACCAGGCTTCTTCGCGGAAATGGCAGACGCAGGCTCCACGTGTTTCTTCAGCAGTCCGATGTTTGCAGCCTTGTCCAGACACCCTTTATCTGAAACACACTCACTGGCTGCCGCACGATCCCTTCCTCCTGTGGAGATGGGACTCGGCCAAGACCACATCGCGCTGCTAGCCCCTGCCTCATGCGCCTCAGAGTCAGTCCTCAGTCGCCCTGAGTTCTTAGAGCACGAGACCAGCAGAAGGAGGCGCTAACATTGGGCTTGAGGGAGTACAGCAGTTTCACCCAGCATCGTGGAGCATGCGCCGTACAGCAGGGTCCTCTGGGATTGGCAGCTTTTTCCTCGTTTGACTGCTGCAGACCCTGCAATTCAGAGAGCAGATGAGACGCCTGCTGACCTCCCTCCCCGGGGTGCACATTGCATCACCAAGGGAACTCGTGATGAACTCCCAGGCCACACTCCAAGTTACCTCAGAGTCTAAGCACGGGAGACAGGCCTCGTCAGTTTGTAAAACCCCAGGGTGCTGCTGGTGTGTGGCCAGGGAGGAGACCCGTTGTCCTCCGTGCTTTCGGAAGCCTGTTCCATCGTGGTGTCCTCGGACTCACCCCAGAAGCCTCCCTTCTGTGTGGCCCTCGAGAAGGCCCCAGGGAGTGGCCACGGGAGAGGTCCTCTCCCCACTGCCGGCCACTGGGCCATCTGTGCCCCCACGGTGCCAGGCCGATGTTTGAAAGGCGCCGGTTTTGGTGGCAGAGCCCAGTTTGAAATGCAGCTCATCCCGCTTACTGACTGCCTACCCTTGGGCAGGTCGTGCGGCATTTCTGAACTTCACATTTCTCCCCTTGCAAAGGGACCAGTCGTAATAGAGCCTGTGAGAGCTGGAAAGAATGTGGGCAAGGTGAGAGGAGCACGCACACACTCATGAGTATTGTTATTGCTATTGCTGTGCACAGCAGAAAGCGGAACGGGCTGGGAGGAGAGGACTCCGTGGGATGCAGAGGCCTCCACAAGCCTCCAGCTCCCCGGAAGGTGACTCTCCTACCCTCCCCACGGCCGGCTGGTCCTGCTGCAGGCTCCGGTCCAGGCCGCTTGTTCTGTGCGATCTTGGGCCTGATGTCCTGGGCAGCGCCGGGCCAGACCGTCTCTGCTTGTCCAGGCCTGCAGTCCCTGCAGCCGAGAAACTCAGACCTCACAGTCTTCAGAAGACAAGGGGGTGCACCTGAGAGCTGTTCTCCCGCAGTGCCGGGTACTTCTAGGAATGCACTGGCAATGTGGGGTCCCTTGTGCAAAAGAGACTCAGGCTCCAAGTCTGAACCACCACGGAACAACATAACTCAAGCCATATATGTAATTTTAAGTTTCCTAATAGCCACATCTTTTTAAATATATGTGCTGCCGAAGCGAGCACTCCACATTTTTTTTAAAAGACACAAAGAGAAGGGCTAGAGGTGTAGCTCAGTGATAGAACATTTGCCTACAAGGTCCTGGGTTCAATCCCCAGCACCAAAAAAAAGAAAAGTAACATTCATTTTCATACTGTATTTCATTTAAACAAGCATATGTGATATTATTTGATCTGCTACTCACGCTAGAATTACAGATGAGTTCTTTTAGACTTCTGTCTTCGTCCCAAGTCTCACGGCTCCCTTGTGTGTTTTACACACCCAGCGCGTGTCCATTTAGACCAGGCTGGTTTCCGGCGTTGTCCTTGCTGCTGACCAGCGGCTCCTGTTGTCGCGGGCAGCACAGCGCCAGGGGTTAAGCACTGCATCTTGGTGACTCAGCAGGTCGAGGAGGATGGGGACTAGAGTGAGGATGCCCCACTTTCTGAGCCCCATCCTGTCCCCATCCCTCCTCTGTTCCGTCCTGGCAGTGAGGGCTGCATGGGGACTGTGTCTTCGAGGACGGATTCTGAGCACCGCCCTTGTTGCCGTGGATCCTGGAGCAGGGCGCCAGCTTTACACATGCACCGTGGGGGTGGCGATGGTGAGGCCTCGGGAGGTTGTTTTAGGGCTACGGGTTCAGGGTAGCGCCTGGCTGTAAGTATTAAAGGGGTCCGCTTTTCCAGGGCCCCTCCTGTGCTGTGACGGCCTGCCTGTCCCTGTAGGGTGGGCAGCCTCTGGGTTGGGAGTGAGACCTTTTGGCAGCAGACTCCTCACCAGGAACTTGCGGTTCCAGGGGCCTGGAAGGGGGTGGGCTGCTGCTGGACGTCCTGTTGGCGTTTTCCAGTGGAGCCTGACGCGGCCGTTCATAGATCTGCACACAGCAAACACTGCTGGGGTCCTCCCAGGGCCCAGCCCGGGAAAGGCCGTCGGGGACTCCAGCAGGCAGCATGACATCCGGCAGGACTCGGCGTGACCATGCTGACTTCCTGCTCCCCGGGTCCCCTCAGTTTGTCACCCCTGTGTCCTTCTGACCCTTCCCCTCCTGGGTGCCTTCCCTTGAGGCCCAGCTTCCTTGTCCAGATGCTCAGGAATGCTGCTTCCTCCGAACGCCCAGCCCTGTCTCACTCCTGGGCGCCAAAGCTGGGTGCGTACACTCCCTGCACATTCGGGGAGTGCCCCTGTGTGCACCCCAGGGCCCCGGTCACCCTGTGCCTGATCTTCTGCATCCTCCACCCCACGCGGCTGTCACACTGCACTACTGCCCCTGAGGGGCAGCGGGTTAGCTCCGCGCCCCCGGCTCCTGCTTCCCGTGACCCTCGGTGAAGGAGCCAGGGAGAGAATGAAGGGATGGAGGTCAGCTCACCGCCTGGTTTCGCTCAGAGAACGGAGGCGATGGCTGCCTCTGTGAACCCCGCAGCACAGGTGTCTGTTCCGGATCACGAGTGCGGGTCCTGCGAGGAGCGTGCTGCAAAGCACAGGCTCCCTAGCTCTGTCCCGAGGTCATTTCAGTAGGCCTAGCGAGCGGCATCACTCTGCATCTGCCTCAGACATTCTGCAGTAGACAGGCTTGGGGACCCGGGATTCGGACCCTTGAACTAACGGGAAAACGATACCCAGGCCCACGGGAGAGAAGTACCACTGCGGTTTCGTGTTACAGCTACTCCTGGGTGTGAGTCCTGTAAACGAACCTGGGGTCCACTTGGTTGAAACCCAGCGCTGGTGAGGAGAAAGCCTGGCCTCTACGCACAGCCGCGTCCGCTGTGTCCGCTGTGTCCTCACACTGTTCTTCTCTGACAGGTCTCCTGTGATGGCCGGCGGGCTGTTCGCTGTGGACCGGAAGTGGTTCTGGGAGCTGGGCGGGTACGACCCTGGCTTGGAGATCTGGGGCGGAGAGCAGTATGAAATCTCCTTCAAGGTGAGCCCTTCTTCTTCCTGTCTGCCTCGGCCCCGGCCCTGGCAGGCTGCCCCCTGGCCTCTGTGCCTGGGAAGATACGAAGTATTCGGGTTCTGTAGCCCGCTGCCCCTAGGGGAAGAAATCGGGGAGCAGCACATGTGTGCTGAAGGTGGAGGCATCGGTAGGCAGCATCCCACGGTTGCCGGAGGCCGTGGCCATAACTCTTACCTCTTCTGAAGATGCTGGGGTAGGAGAGGTCTCACTATGCAAAGACTCTGTAGTGCTTTCCAGTGGCTGTGTGGTCTCAGGGCTTCCCTTTGATGTCTCTCTGTGGGTGTCTGGCACCGAGACCAGGGGATAAAAGCTCCAGATGGGGAGTCACAAAGGCCTGGGTTCAAACCCAAATCCCTCTCTGTTGCTAACAAGTTAGATCACTTCCCCAGCTTTCTTTCCTTATGTGAAATAGAGGAATAATCGTGTCACCAGCTTTAAGTAACTAATGTGAAGATTAAATGAGATCACATCTAGGACGTGCTTAGCGCTTAACCTGGGCACATGGCCAGCAACTAGTCATTGGCAGGCACCGTGAAAGATGAGGCCAGTAGATATTTACTCTGAAGTGTCTGATCGGCCCGTGGGCTACAGAAGCTTGACTCCGCCGTCTCCTCCTTGTGGAATTCTGCCTTTTGGCCCCCATGTGGAGATGGCCGGCTTATCATGGGCCCCGTGGCCCAGCACAGCCAGCCTCCAGATTGGGGGACCCAGCTGCGGCCAGGACCCAGCTGTGGCCATGCCCCAGCCCAAGGGAGGGCAGCAGCGTTGCTGTGCTCACTTTGGAGCATGAAGCCGTCCCTCCAAGTGCCATCCTGCTCCAGTGCAAGGGCCCTGGCCACGTGGTGAAGGGGACTCGCTAGTCCCAGCCCCTCCTCTTCCTACCACTGTACCCTGGGCAGGGGTCCTCCCCACAGGCCCCGGTTTCTACTTCCATAAATGGATTGCGTGCTACTCTAACCCCCACAGATTGTCGCGAAGGTTAAACGAGGCTACATTTGTTAGGCGCTTTTCAATAACTACCCCTAAAGCATAGGAACGTTAGCGGTGTTTGTATTATCATCAACAACACTGGGCGAGCAGTTCGGAACTGGGCCACAGAAATTCTTGATTAGCAAAAAAAAAAAAAAAAA